GAGTCCAAGTTGACGTCGTTTAAAACAGACTTACCTAGAGTAGTGATCCACAGGTTGTGGGTGTGAGTAGCAATGACTGTGTCTGCGGGTGAGTGTGGGTCGGTTTGGCTGTGGATGAGTATAAGTCTGAGCCTTGGTGTTGTCGTGGGTAGGATGCAGGTTTTTGGGGGTGGGAGTAGAGTGGGGATGTGGTAGATGTCGGTATGGTTGGATATCAGTGTGGGTGGGTGTATTGTTAGGATGATTGTGTTTCTGATTTTAATGCACATACCCGCACGTCCACCCACCCATATTAACACTCACAGCCTAAGACTGAAGACTATTGGATAGAGTCACGAAATTTTTCAAAGTCCTCTTTCTGTTTTCATTGCCAAAAACCCGTTTTCAATGTGTTCATGTGTACAGACTCTATGTTTGCGCAGAAAACGATTGAATGACACATACCGATAAAGACATCCAGTGTTAAACCGATCCATCACATTGATTATTCCGCCAATATGAAAACCACGAATAAATCCAGTTCGAACTGGTGCTCATAATCACTATCAGTGTTTCTTCATTTATCAAGATAAATATTAGCCTACTGATTGTGTCAAAGTTAGAACCTAAGTTCAATTTAATAATGGCTGAAACATAATAAGTTAAATTTCAAAATTTAAATTTTAGTTTTCTTTATCGATGAGAATACCATGAAAACGCACAGAAGGCATTTCTTATTGGCAATGCCACCAATATAGATACATACGATTTCTTATGGGAACCTGAAAGTTGAGGAAGTCTTTCAATTGTCTGAAATTTCAAAGAGACTGAGTTAGTAAGATTTATTTGATTTACAAGTTAAAAATAACATTTAACATGCGGAAAATCTTTTCCTTTAGTTTCTGATGCAAACTGGAAACTCGAGAATAATGGAAAAGGTACACCATCAAGTGTTATTGTTAGATTCAAACTAACTGGACGTCTTAAATCAGAATTATCTGCTTGAACAGTCATTTTTGTAATACTTTTGGGTTCTTTTTCTGATTTCTCTGAGCACGTATTATTCCATCTGAAGACATCAGTGCTTGACCAGCCTGTACAACTTATCTCTTGGCGTTCAACGGCGAAACATTCTTGCGTATCAGGATAGACTCCTGCTTGAAAACTTGTACCATTCGTATATGATACTGTGTAAAGTATTTCATGAGTGTCTTTAGTATATTCTTGCCGAATTCGATAGCCAATTATTTTTGCTTGATCTTTAGCAGTGACAGCTTGTACAGCATAAACACCAGCTACAGAAGTCGTAACAGCAACACCGGTAAAAGTAAAATTATAAGTAAGACCAATTGGTGGTAACATATGCTTAGGAAATATGAAGTATGGTTCAGCATTGATTTCAATTACCATAAAAGTGGTGAACAAAAAAGCAAATATTGTTACTTTTATCATTTTTTTTCAAATAGTATGCTTTTAAGAAACTATTTGAAACTTTATCTCTTTTTAAGCACTATCATTTTGAATTGACTCATTTTATTTATCATCTGCGTTATTGGTATCTTTCTGACAGTGCAAAAAAAAATATGCAACGTATTTAAAAGATTAGATGATGAATACAAGTTAAAAACAATTATCTGTAGTTTCTAGACATTTATATACAATGCAGAACCTTATAAATATGTTTCAAACACAATACATAAACTATTAAATCATTCAAGAAGTTAAAAGGATGTGGGTGTAAAACATTCATGTGTATTAGATAAGTACATTTGGACAAATATGAGATGTATACACTGTTATAGGTAATTCTGCATGATCTAAGTTTTCCCAAATATTATAAAACCAAACTAAAATATAATCTATGATAAATATCGAAGATTATTAGTTTTCAGATCTGTTTTAGTTGAGATAGATATTCTATAGGTAAAGGAAATGCTAGCTGAAGATTGATGAAAATAAATTTAGAAAAATCTACATTTCAAAATAACTTTTAGTTTTTTGGTATATTTTTGAAATACTCCTTTTATTGTCAATAAATGAAATTTTAGATCGTTTCTATTGATTTCCATTTAAACATTCGTTCGAAAGTCATAAATTATTCAAATAGATTAATGTACAAGTAACGCGACGTTAGCGTCGCAGACCCTCTACTGAAAGGACTAGAATGCGTTAAAAACACAATTGCCTGACTACCTCCAGAGTTGTAGATTCCGTTCAGTTGTCTTTTTGATGTATAATCATTGATCAATGATCACAGTGTGACTTGAAGAAACGAGGTATTGTCATTTTCAACGGATAGCTGCGCTATAACCCTGTTTCTACTACAGCATAAAGAGCTATATTAAAATATAATTCAAAGCACCATTCATTAATATAAGACAGTAACTTTAACTCATACCCAGATGAGGCAGCTTGCTCATAACTCCGGGTGTGGGTACTATAGTCTGTCGAATGCAGAAATTTTGAACCTGACCGCATCCTACATAGAATACTCAATAATAAAACTTAATCAGAATTTAATACTTGAAGTCGCTCGGAGTATGAAGTGCTTTTGTCTAGCAAAAAGAGCAATTAAAAGGAAAAATATCTACAGGTAATGATGAAAAAAATTTAGTTATTGAAAACAAAAGCAATTCTTTACCGTCCAAAACGATTAAAAGAAGAAAACAAATAGTGCAGTGATTATTCTTCGGATAATATCAATAGCCTCATTGATTACAGTAAAGAATCGGATGAAGCTTTATTTGAATTATAGATTCATGATGTTAGTCAGATTTATATATTATCATACAATGGGTTATTTAATTTCAATCTGAATTTTAACAAAAAAAAGAGCACTTGATTTCAAATTGAAATAGGGGACTAAGGGGACTAAGGAATTCTTGAATTCTCGAGTTTTATAATAGGTGTGGGTGTGGGTCATATGATGTCTTTTGAGAGTATCCCCGGAAACTCGATTAAGTCCTAGGGGTTGAAGGTAACTAGATATATAGGTATAGAGGTATAAGAGATATAGGAGGTACACTACTAACAACAATGTGACCACAAATAGTATTTTTGACGTAACTTTTGAAATGAACAAGCTATAGAGAAGCGGTTTTCATTAACGGAAAGAGGAAATTCAGACGCTTCGAATCAAACGTTAGACACTTTTCGAGATGGGATTCCTCAACTATTCAACTGAAATTTTTCGGAAACAACGTTTTTGATACTTTACTAGAAGAAGCTCTGAACTATATCATATTAATTCAAAGCAACAGTTTCTTATCCATAAGAAATTATGCAACACTGTGATTCTTGGCTTCAACTGTTCAGCAGCAATCAGTATTGTCCGCGAGACAAGGAACAGTTTTTTCTAGCAGCTTTCACGTGAAAAAAACTTATTACTAATATTATATATTTATGTGTGAATATTGATAGATTATTAACGTCCACATCCAAATACTCAAATTAGAGTTTTCTACTCTCAACATTAAACCCAAATGCTTTAAGGCGGAATCAAAACTGTCTAAACCCCACACACAAACCATTGCAGCAGTGGAACTCACGAGAACAAGACTCCCACCAACATCAATTAACACAAAGGTATAGGCACACAGCAATCACCAACCGTGTCGATGCAGCTAAACAAATTTCACTAAAAAGGACTCACGCAAACATCGCAAGTGTGGGTGCCACGAAAGGAGTTTCACCAAACATGACTTACACCAAAGAAGACTCACACACAAACATCACAAGTGTGGGTGCCACGAAAGGAGTTTCACGAAATGCGACTCACACAAAACGACACTCAGTCCCAATCGGTGCAGCTGATGGTGCGCCGAAGCGAGTTTCACAGAGTACAACTCATGTGAAGTCACACTGGCTCGCAAACGCCGCATGTGATGGTGCGACGAAGTGTGGTTAGCTAAGGGGGACTGGGACAGGCGTAACCAGGTGTAGTGGGTATAGGTTATGGTTCGGTACAGTGTTGGATTAGGTTTATGCTGTAACGTCAAGTTGAAGGTTCAGGTTAGAGGTTTGGCTTCAAGTGTATACCTTCGTTTAGTATTAGACGAAGTGTTCTCGTTGGTTGTGGAAAAAGGAGGATGAATCGTTTGTTATAAATATGTATTTGACAGCTGTAAGGGAGTGATATTGCCGTTGGAAAAGAAAACTGGTTATAGTTTCGAGTTGGTATGGTCGAATCGGAACGCACTCCTTGTGAATTGAAAAAAAAGGTATTGGTGTTCGCCTTTGGTTGGGCAACGTGCACATGATTTCATGAAAGAGTTTTAGTCGAAGCTGAAGTGGATTGTGATGAAAGGTGCATGGGAGAAAGAACATATGGTAAATATTAGTGTAGTAGTGAAGAGTTTTTTTATTTAGTCCTTAACTTTGAATTGCGATTCATGGTGTTATGTTTGTTTAATTCATCGATACTTGCGTTGAAAAATGAATAAGCGAAATAAATAAGTGTTTGCTATATTATGCGGATACCTATTGTCAGATGTATAAATGCCGTATTCCACTGGTCTACCGGTGGCGCAGTGACTGTGAATCGCAGTTTGATGCAGCTTTAATAGAAGTATGATAGAGTGACGCAGTTTTGAACTTCTGAAAGTGACACTGTGGACATATGGAACCCTTTTTTAAGCTTTCTATTAGTTGCTTTTCAGTGTTTTACAATCAATTTTGTAAAAATGATCAGTGGAAAAATCTGTTTTCATCAAATACAAAAAGATAAAGTAGTTTGATTTTAAGAAGCACCATTGCGAACGCCGGTTTCCCCTTTTCAATGGAATACTTCTAGTCCGTGAAGAACGGAAGCTTAGTATCTGCGCAGGGCTTTCTTTTGTAGATCTTTAATAGTCGCTTTCAATATATATCAGGCAGTTGAAAACTCCTTGTAGTCACGTATCAAGAACGCTTCTTTAGAAAACATTTAGCTGAAATCTATAGGAAGACTAGGTCGACAAGTCTATAGCATATGATTGGATGCGTCTTAATCTTCTATTTCTGACTGTGAAACCCGTACGTTTCTATTTTGTTCCTTCGAAAAGTTACACCAAAAACACTATTTGCAATCATATTGTCGTTGGCAGTATACCTCCTATATCCCCTATACCTCCTATTTTTCCAATATCTCTTATATCTCCTATACCTCCTATATCTCCTATAACTCCTACACCTGTCTATCTCTACATCTTGTACTCTAGGACATAATTGAGTTTCCAGGGAAACTCTCCGAAGACATGTCATCGTTTGGGTGGGTGTGGGTGGACGTGGGCGTGGATGTGCGTATAGGATTATCTTCAACCACACCCTTAGTCCCCTTAGTCCCCTTATTCCCTTCAGTTAGTCCCCTTAGTCCCCTTATTTCCTTCAGTTAGTCCCCTTAGTCCCCTTAGTCCCCCTAGGCCACCCTCAAAAAAGGTACTATAGATATAACATATGTCGACTGAATTCTATATATCTTATGTATGTATACATAGTACCCTTCTTTATACGAAACAGGAGGGAAGGAACCAAAGAATTCGCGAATTCTGAATTCCAAGAATTTCTTAGTCCCCTTAGTACCTCTGGGTTGATAAAAATGGAGTGCTATTTTTTTTTCAAAATTCAATTTGAATTAAAAAAACCCATAGACTCTATATTATAATCTGGAAAGGTGCTTTTTTGATTTTCCACCATTCAAATCTATATAAAAGACTTATTTTGAATAAAATACATAGTAAATTAAAGTTCAAAAAATATTTTTACACATGAAATATTCCATTCGACCAGCACCCGAGCAATAAAAAATTTTCTGATATGGACTGTATCGAACACACGTTTTCGAATCCGGAGGCGTGCATCGATTCAGTCAAGTTCGGATACGTTTGAAGGGCTCTAGTGGATGCATTTGAGTGGGCATATGGGCTTGTTTTCTCTTAACAAAAACACCTAGACACCTATTTTATTAAACCCAAGATGCTGTCACAGTTCCTTTTCTGCACCTTTCGGAATCTTATACTTAACAAAAATCTTTGAAAGAACATAACGGACTCCTATCCATAATCCTGCTTACTCTCGAAATATCCTTACCACATGAATAGTTATGATTCCAGAAAGAATTCTGAACAAATATTAGCAAGAATCAGTCTGATACTTCTAGAACCTCTCAAAGAAAGAAGAAGACAGGATCTTGTAGGCTCTAACTTTTACTAACAGAAAGACATTTGATACAAATCCGCTCCGTATTACTTGCTCGTGATTGCTTCTTGAATGTGCGCTATATTGCAAGAGGACTATATCTCAGAGCCTATTTCCAATAATATTTTCTCAATTTTTCCTACCCCCAATGAACAGCCATAACTAAATACACCTGATTGAAATAAAATCACTTAACCGGTTCTATTAGTTTGAAAGCTATTTCCGCAATCTTTCTTATCAACGGCTAGTCGTTCGTCGGCGCCCCTCCGGGGCGCCACTCACGACTAACCGTTACCATGATATAGTGTACTTCATTCAGATATCTTAATTCTCTAAGATACCCTACATTATTTTGACATCGCTTATTTGAAAAGCCTGTGTTCCGGAAAAGTGAAGAAATGCTTGTTCTAAGAAACATACCAATCGTTCTGATTGACTTTCCTATTTGTTCATTGTTCTCTTCGTCTTAAACATAGTTCCGCCCAAAAACGAGCCAACAGTAGAAAGTAAGTCTACGGATTTGAGACGTGTGGTTGTTTCAAAAACTTCCTATTCAGCGACTAGTCGTTCGTCGGCGCCCCTCCGGGGCGCCACTCACGACTAGCCGTCTTCATGCTTCAATATACTCTCTGCATACGTTATTATCAACCACACACTCTATACTGGATTTTAGTTCGTTTTAATACACAAAACTTATATGCTTGACATCAGTAAAATTTAACCTACAAATTCTGAGCGCAAGGCTTCATTGTGACCGATTCCGATATCATTTCTATGAAGTTTGCAAGGTAGCTCAGACTGCATTGAAGCTTTCTATTCCTGAAAGCTAGCGGAAATCATCTAAAACACCTGTCAGCTAATCACATATTCGGGTTCCCCGACCCCAATTGCCTTTGATAAAACTTTACAAAAAAATTTTCTTTTTGTAAAAATGTCTTTCTCTCTCCTAAAAAAAGCAAAAACTTAAGTTTCAAAAAACTCACATCAGATTCGAATTCCTCGACCCCCATTACCTTTGGTCAAACTTTATAGGTAGGCCACTAGAAATAGATCGAAAAAACATTTTTTCGTTCTGCGCGAACGAACACACACACTTACGAACGAACGTAACAACTCCTCTCGGCGTAACACCCTCCTTTCAGTAGAGGGAATAAAATCACTTATTTTGGCAAACTATTGTCAAACTGTTCTAAACTGAAGCTTTTATGATGATACATGATTTAATAGAATAATTTGCGCTCTACGTAATCCTTTTAATGTTTAAGTAATTTTATTGTTCAATAGATCATTGGCAAGAGTATTTCAAACTGCATCAGATATTCTGTTTGAATGGATATTTCATATTGGAAAATTGTTTTAGTTATGTCCTGTGAATTCACTAATCACAGATAGATGTTATTACACTGTCTTATTCACGTATCGAAGGTACAAGTTGTTTGAATAGTAGGAACTTGTAAGAAATCTTTCAAAAGTAAAAAACTTATCATAATCCTACGTAGATAGATGATGAAATTTAGAACAACACACTATATTAAGTTTCATTTGATAGACACTTGAAATGATAACTTTCGATTTGAATGTCTAATTGGTACAAAAAGAAGGCGACCTCAATTTTGGACAATGGTTTTCAATTAAGACAAGAACAATAAAGGATTTCATTTAGGATCAATCCTATCCTGTCAAAGGTTTTCTTTATCTCGTATGCTAACAACAACTTCACTGAAAACTAGTTCACCAAGTTTAATAATATTACAGCTGAGACTTCTCTCCCTGTCATGTTTTAATACATGAATTGTTTACGATTATCTAAAGGTGAGAAAAGCAAGATCGAGTTAGACTTTGTTCAAAAAATTTGGCAAAATTTCATGATAGATCATAGCGATTATATAATATTATTAAAAATCATGAGACAGACATTCATTCATCATAGACAGGTTGGGTGCACGTTAACTAATGCAAGCAGGATAAGTGAAGGTTAAACGTCAGCAATTATTTTTTTGTCGAAGTAAATTTCAACCAAAAACTATATTTTTCTATATTCTTTAAATCAAATGGTCCTATTCTTAAAAAAATTATAAATAAAAGCAAGACTATAGACCACAACTAGTCTATTGAAAATTGCTTCAAGACTATTATTAATGCAATATGGAAACAAAGAATACCATCAATTGCAAAGGACAAATCTACTTCATGACAATGTTCAATCTCATAGTTATCCAGATGTTATTAATTGTTTGACATGAAACGGCATCAATATAATGAGTCTTTCACTTTTTTCACCAAATCTTGCACCATATGTGATTTTTGATGATGCAGTTAAATCAAGCATAATTCAATTGACTATACAAATGAAAAATCATTGATTCATGTGATATTCTCGATAGGTAAAACTAGTCCAGAAGACGAATTTATAAAATACATTTGAGAATTTGTTAGAAAGATGAATCTTTGATATCTCTTTATTTTTCTTTAATGTTTTTAGAATTTTTGGTTAACCCTAAACAGTTTGTAGATCAAATTAATGATCATCATTAAATCAATGTTTTTAATTCGAATTCATTATTTGAAGACAAAACTCGAAATATTCTAATGATGACATTGAAATGTATACATCAAAATCAATCCTTATAATAAACTTCATTGAACTAAAATAAATCTGAAAAGAAATTCGAAGTGAAAAAACCAAACTAAGAATACATAATTAATGACATAAAATGAAAGTATTTTTTTCTCTTCCTTTTATATAATAATAATGTGGATAGCAATAGATTAGATATATGAATACGAAGAAAACAGAGACACACAAAAAAAAAAAAGAAAACGGTCATTGACCATGTGGCAAAATCGTGAAAATCACAGTAGGTGACATTGAGACTATATAAGGACGATACAAAGGGAAAGTTGAACACTTTGTTTTTTTTTCTTAACATTCACAATACAAACAAGGACAACAAACATAAATTTCTTTTTGTTTTTCTAACATTGTGCTACAGAAAAAAAGAAACAAAACAATCATTAAGACACAATGACCGGTAAAAATGATAGTTAAGTATAAGGAAGATATCTATTGCACAAAAAATTGAAAATAAATTAATATTAATCATTTATTCTAGATTAGTATTGATTTGCGCATCAGATCAACATAATATTTTTCTCTCGAAATCTATAAGTGAAAGTAGAAGGAATGTGCGTGTTGTTATTTTTTTTGGCTATAAATGCATGCAGAGAAACCACTGTTAATAGATACATAAGAAAAGTAAAATGAAAACCAAAAAAAGAAAATTGATTAAAATTCATCTTCAAGTAATTCAACAAGATGATTAGCAATACCATCTTTGCTTGCTCGAACCGTAAGACGATACATCTAATAGTTTTTAAAAGAAAAAGCCAAATACGATTTAGAGATTATTGAAGACAAAAAAGATTGATTTACTTTAGCTTGTTTGTTTGGTTCAAGTCGATAGAGGCAACCGATTTGTTGTGAAGATGTATGTAATATACCAGCACCGCAAAAATTATCCGAATTAACATCAATACCTATTAAATTACTCCAACCAAAACCATCCAACTATATTAAATAAATCATTATTTTTATCGATTAAAAAAAATTTTCAACATACTTTATGACAACAATCATCATGATTCATTGGATATTTTGCTGGAAAAATTTTTTGAAATTCTTGACCAGGTCTAAACATAAGAAAAGATAGATTTGAAATTCATTCTGTTGTTTTTTCATTTTAGCATTTGACTAACGATCATTTCACATCATGAAAAGTGTCCTCTCAGTGTTTAATTATTGTACAGAAACTAGTGAACAATGTTTTAGTCAGATTTTCTCTTTTGAACGGACAGTTAACACTTTGGGAGGGAAAATTGTGGAATCTCTTGAGGTATCACATTGTTTTTTTGACTGAGACGATGTTTGTTTGATGAGTAATATATAAGTCTAGAATGGTTTGGTTTTCTGAATGTTGAAGGAGAGATCTATTCATTCATACAGAGATCAAAGAGTGCGATTTTTATCTTGACATTTTTTATGGAGTGGCTCCTTTTCTATGTGTTTTAATGAAACTTAATTCTCATTATAAAAGAGAGTCACATATAAATTTATTGTTATTGAAAACTAGCAGTCTTGTTTAGTCTGAGTATGATGTCATTAAAAACGCTTCGGAATACTTTTTTTTTTACAAATCCACTTTCCATTGTATAAATAGTATAGTGTTGAGAGACAAAAGAAAAAAGAATGTTTTTTCCTGTGAGTAAACGGAAACAGGAAATGAGACGAAAATCAGATATTTATTTAGTTAAATAATGCACATACTTTTCAAGGTTTCGCCAACGTAAGAAGAAATTATTTGAATCCATTTCAGCTTTTTCAATAAATTTATTTATATATAATGGAAATGAAAAATCAAGTTTTTGTGGTACATTACTATAACTAAAATAAAACAGAATAGAATAGAAAAGTGTTTTCTTTTTTTATTATTTTTGATAGAAAATTTAAACTTACTAAAATGTAAAATTTATTTTTGGTAAATCTCGAAATTCTTTTAAACATTCAATTGTTCCTAATTGTTTGATTTGTGCTTTTGGATCAATGGTTGTTTTAATTGGTTCAATATTAAGTCGTAGTTCTAGTTAGACAAAAGAGACATTTTATTTATTAAGGACCTCATCGGGTTTGGTGATCCATCCTGAACCAGTATACCATACATATAGCTTTGTAGGGCGAATTGCTGTGCATCGAATGGTATATAAGAAATCAAGTTTTATGAAAATTTTGATGTGCTAAATGTCGATACAATGATGATCATGGTCAGCAAGGGCTCATTGTTAACTTGCTAAATTGTTCCCTAGAGTGGTCTATCAAAACATGTTTCCGTTTATTATGTAGTTATTTATATGAATTACATAGTTGGCAATGAGTTCTTACTGTTTCAAAAGATGTTACCTGTGAAACGCATAGATCTCAATAGTGTTCAACTTTTGAGAACATTTTAAGTTATTGCTGACTTCTTCTTTTGCACAGAGTTGAATACACTGGAATATCCAGTACTCAATCAACGATCTAAACCTAAGAATAGGGACCATTTTTAGGTATGAAGAAAGCCATTGATTATAGAAAATTGAAGAATACCTATAACTGTATTGAGGTAAGCTCTTAAAGAGAATAGCATCAGTTTATCTTAAGGACAATAACGCCTGTGAATATTCTATAACATTTCTCAAGGATTATAACTAGTATATGGACCTTCAACACATCAAATCTTGATTAGTTATATATACTTCGATGTGCCACATATTGTTCTGGAAAATCACATATATGGTAACCTGATTCAAGATAGGTCACCAAGTCTAGTGGGGTACTTTCTGAAAAAAGAAAATTTCCTTTACCTGATTCTAATTCACCCAATAATGTAATATGAGTTGAAATATTTGTTAAATTAAAATTCGTTTTATTTCCATAATAAAATTCTACATGTAAAATATTTTTCGTTGCTTCACCTTTGATGCCTATTTGTACAAGATCATTTTCAAAAATAATATCACTATTTTTAAATAAAAATTTCTTTGTTGATTGTATTGTTGCTGTTGTTGGTGCTGCTGCTGCTGCTGTTGTTGTTGTTGTTAATGTTGATGGAAGTGAATAAGATGTTGATTCATTATAATGAGTATTAGATTCAATTGTATCAAATGAAAGAAGAAGTCCATTTTGTTGTTGTTGTTGCTGCTGTTGTTGTTGATTAAGGTGGATCTAAAACAAAAAAACATACATTAAAAAAAAAACATAAGAATAATAAATTCTTAAAATATATTTACAGCTGTTTCAGCAAGTTTAGGAGCATCTTCTGTATGTGTCGTCGGTGTTGCTGATGGTTCATTATTACCTTCAGCTTCCATTAATGGTTTCTTTTGTTTAAGACGGACAAGTAATGGTGATTGTTTTTCCGGAAAAGGTGGCATGATTTCCAATACAGTAGCTAATACTGTTGGACTACATATTTCACTTAATCTAAGATATTCAATTGCTCGTTGTTGAATTTCAACATCAGAACTACGATAATTTGAATCGTGACGAAGAACCTAAATGAATTAGAGAAAAGAAAAACATGAAACTTTACTAAATTTAAAATCCCTCGATTGTTGATTTAATTCTACGAAGGAGAATTTTCAATTGATCAGTCACTTTTTTAAGGATAACTACTGAACAATTGTCGTATCGACCATATTAATTCTGAATATGATTATGAGAAATCCCTTTAAGTCTTCTTATACGAGTTTTTAGATGGACAAATTTTTTTTTCTGTTTGATCTGTTCATGCAATAGAGCAAATTAAATTGTCTAAATAAAGTTTTTCGATTTCGAATGGCTTCTTCTTTTTGCGAAAAATACGATCATTTTGATTCATACAACAGATAGATATGTCAACATTTTAATGCGAAAATCTTCAAAGTACTATTCTTTTACGTAAAACTCATTTTAGAAAAACAGAAAAGATTATTGATTTATACACCATTGATATGCTCAATAATGTCAGTGATTCTAAAACTATTTTAGAGAAATATTTGCTAATCTGAAAAATCAGTTTATCAAGACATAAGAGAATGAGAATAGAACGTCGAATGAGCTAGGTTAATTCGATTTTTTCGATGGGCTAGGAGTTGAGATTCTTGGGTCAAATCTTTAATAAAACACAGAGTTCTTAAGAGATGCCGCATCTTATAATTGTAAACTTTCTTTAAAAAAAACTCATTTTGTTCGTTTATTGGCTCAAACACTTCTGCAATGAAGAGTAAATATGTATACAAAACAGAACAAAAGAAAGGCACAACTGCCTATTCACATTTTTCGGCTTCCTGCTAAGCCCTAGCAACCAGGAGACGAGAGGAAAAAGGCAAAGATCATACTAAAACTTTCTAGAACCTTCCAAAGTACTCGATCAATCTAAGATTTCTACTATAAATTCTAACGAGTAGTCTAAATAATGTGAGTTTTTTGGTGATATAAACTATGATTGAGAGAAAATAAATTATGTATTGAAGATTTATCTGACAGTACCAATAGGTTTTTTTTAGTTTAATAACGTTCAGTGAATCTAATAAATCGTTCGAAATGATGAAATTTGGGAGTACACGTATGCATTATTATAGATTTTGATTTGTTCATTTATTCGATATTTTTTTTTAATAAATTATTTTAACGCCTCAGGCAATATACCATTAGTTTATAACAGTCAGAGTGTAAAAGTTTCGTATTTTGGTCTCTCATGGGACCACACTATCAAGTTTTATTCAATAAAAGTGTTGCTTCGTTCTTCGCTTTTATCAACAACTACATCATTCATCCATTATCTTGTCTATTTCGAATTCTATTGCTACTCTATGCGTCAATATGATTATGGATATTGATTTCATCGACACTATTCTCTATTTCTTTTTAATTTACTTTTGTTCATACAAGTCTTCTCATGCAATTGATTGTATGAAATAAATTGTGATTTAATTTATGAAATAAAGAATGAATCAATGACAATTACGAATACGAAAACTAATCATGTTTGAAAAGAATATTTGACTATATGGAAAGTCCATCGATCGTCTTTTCTAGGTCTAGTTTAACCTCTTAGGAATTCTGTTATAGAACGCGATAAGAATATCTGAAGTCATAACTTTTTTTTTTACTGAAACAATGAACATGTCACATACATCTTGAATATGTTGTTTTATTTCTGGAAATAAATTAATAAATTTCATATAAGTCGATAAAAGCAAAGAGCGTGTTGTTGGTGAACATAGATGATATTTCGAATGAAGTAAATGAAATTGAATCATTGGTCTATTAAAAAAAAAAAAAACATAAAGATTTTCAATAAAAATCATTAATTTTCTATTTCTTCTAAAACTTACGTTGATCGTGGATCAAGTGCAATTAAATTTCCATATTCACCAAGAATATATCCAGCTACTTTAATCATATTTTCATGACAAGCTGGTGCTTGTAATGCTTCGAATGCTATTTTAGCTGCATAACTTTGTACATCACTTCGATTAACAACAACTTGTATAACACGATACCAAACCTAATTGAAAATTTTTACTACTTAAAATATTAACCAAAAAAAAAACATTGAAACTTTACTTCTTCAGATACAAAATCTCCAGCAATACGAATTAATTTAAGCATTATATCTAAATACCATTTATAATCAATAGCATATTTTTCACTTAGAATAGCAATTTTAAGAACCTAAAAAAAAAAGTAAAGAGAAAAACAAAACAAACTATTTATTTAAAAATTAATAAAATAAAACAATTTTAACCATTTCTTCTCGAATTGTATAATCAGCTGTTTCAAGATATGTTAACATTTCTTGTACAATATCTTCAGCATTAGATCGATCACACATTGCATAGAGAAGATCGACAGCACGTTGACGAACACTAACATCACGTTCACTCTAAATCAATCAATAGAAATATAAAATTGAATTCTTTGTGTTGATTGTTAATATGCTTTTTTTTTAATGTGAAACGGGTCCGGAAAGGAGTATTGAATAAAATTTAGACCATTCCCACCTTCACATATACTTTAGCAATAGTCCAGTTCCCCGTGCAGAGACGTTGTTGATATACGATCACAGACTATATATCAATAACGTCTTGTTATAATAGATGAACTACTTACTTATTACATTTCTTCAGGATTACATAAAATGATGGTGAAGAAGTGCGCATCCAAAATAGATAGAATAAATAATTTCTCTGTGATTAGCAAGAGCAACTACATAATGTTGTAGGAATTGCACTAATAACTTTTACTATTCGTTATTGGATATATTAACAAGTACAAATTAGAAGAAAACAATGATCATAACAGATAAATTTCATTTGTTTTTAAATTAAACTATTTATTCATTTAGAATTTACAATGAATCTATATAAGTTTATTCAGATTTATGCATTTATTCTATCCAAGAATCAAATTTCCATATCTTTGATTTATGGCAATGACGTACATCATCATATTCCATTCAAGATTGCAATTAATCAATTTCAATCTTTAGCATTTTATTCATTTTTTTTTTCTTGTTTCAGAACATGATTTGATTTCATCAAAAATGAAACCCTTTAGTGACTTTTATTCTTGCATGCAAAACAATCACATTTTAATAATTAACAAACATGTCTCCTGTCATAATCCAATGAATAGGAAAAAAAACATATTGTATTACATATGAATTAAAATACTGTTCTCTTCTGTAAATATTTATTATCTATTCAATTTTATCCTTAGGCAGCTAACATTTTGATGATTTTATGGTAGTCATATGTATTCTTTTTTCTTTTTATGGGACATGATATTTACTTGTTTTATAATCATGAAGGAAAGAATAAAACTAAGGTTATTCTTACTTTTAATGCATTAATTACTGTTTCTTGATGTTTTTTAACAGCTTCATGTGAAAATTCTGATGTTGCTAATAGACACATACTTTCCAAAGCAAGATATCGAAGATTTGTTTCTCGATTTTGTAAAAATTGACCAAGTTGATTACATGCACGTACAAGTAAACTTGATTCACAATCCATATGTATAATAAGATTAATAGCTTCAAATAAAACAGCATTACGTGCATTTGAATGTTGAACTTTTTTAGATTTTAAGGGTTCTTGAGCTTTATTAAGAATTGTATCAAGACATTCATTCAAACGACTTCGAACAGATGGATCATCTAATTAAAAGAAAAACATATAAAAAAAAATAAAGATTTGTTTTTTCTTTTTAATTTGAGTATAAATTACCCGGTGGAGGATAATTTTGTAATAATCGTAATAATTTAACACAAAGCCAAGGTGCTGGAACAAAATAATAAGTATAATCTTGAAAATCCGTATAAGATGACGTAACAATCTAAATGAATTAAAATATTTTATTTTATTTTTTTCAAAACTTCAATTAAAAAAAAAAAAAGACATACTCTGCTTAAACGTGAAACAGCCAAATTTACACAACCTTTATATTCATCTGGATTACGTTTAACAAGTGCATCAATTAAACTAACAGCTGATGTTGCTACACCCTATGAAACAAAAATAAACAATCTGTTGTTTTAATTTAACACAAATAAAATCTCTTTACTAAATGTTGATCATTAAGAAGATGAATAATTCTAGCTGTCCATTCTGTATTTAATTGTAATGAATCTGGACTTGTTCGATGAAGTCTTAATAAACAAAGAGCAGCCGATTGTTTAACAGGATCAATTGTATCTCTAAAAGAAATAAATTTCTTTTGAAAAAAAAAATTAAATAAAACTTTTTCTTAAAAACTAACGCTGAGATAAGTAAACGAGGTATTTCATGAGTAAATGCAGTTGCCATTTCTTTATCACCAATATTAGCTACACATTGTAATGCTAAATTAATAAATATTGGATTTCGACTTTGTATATCATTTCGAATATTTTGTATAATTAATTGTTTCATTTCTGTACTTGAATTCATGATAACAGAAATAAATAAATAACCCTAAAATAGTGAAAAATAGAAATAAACAAAAAAAAACAAAGAAACAGTAATTTTTGATTTTGATACAAACAATTTGTTTTTCTGTATATTTATTTGAACTTAATAAATTAACAGCTTCCATATATCCAAAATCGATATCATGACCAAGTAAGAATATAAATAATAATTTGCATACATATTTTTTCTTTTGATATCCATCAAGTGTTTTATCGGCTGAAAGAAAAGAAGGGAAGAAAAATTCAAATATCTATATATTTTTTCTATTCTACCTCGAAATCGTTGCCGAATATTTGTTAATTCTTTATTGATACGCCGTAATTCAGCTTCACGACTTTTACCTATTAAAGTAAATTAATTGAATTTTAACGAAAAGAAATTTGCTTTTTTATTTTAAGTTTTTACAATTTCGAATGTCAGATATAAAAACAGCTAAACCACGCATAGCATCGCCACGCATATTTCGCATTTTATCGGCAATAAAATAAACAATAACTAAACTAACTCGACCGATTAATATTTGTTTTCGTTTGATTGGTTCCGATATTAGCGACATCGATTATTTTTGAATGGTTAATCAAGTCTTTACCAATCTTCTTTCTTTTTAACTTGGTCGAAACAAAAAAAATCATTTCATTTGTTATTGCTTAAATTTCAGTAAAAGTTAGAAAAAAAAACTAAAAACCATGTCAAGCAGTCTTATTTCAAAACCCAAACAAGAAATGACACCCGAAGAACTTAAACAACGAGAAGAAGAAGAATTTCGTACGGGACCATTATCTTTATTAACAGATGCCGTAAAAAATAATACACAAGTATTAATTGCTTGTCGAAATAATAGAAAATTATTGGCACGTGTTAAAGCATTTGATCGACATTGTAATATGGTTTTAGAAGATGTTACTGAATTCTGGCAAGAAACACCAAAATCAAGTAAAGCTAAAGCTGCTGCTGCAGCAGCTGCTGGTGGTGATACAAAAGGAACTGGATCAAAGCCAGTTAACAAGGATCGTTATATATCAAAAATGTTTTTACGTGGTGATAGTGTTATATCGGTTCTTAAAAATCCCAAGGCAAAATCGGCTGATTCAAACAAATAGATCAAGAGAATTGTTTAAAATTGAAAAGAACAAAAATAAAACGTGTTATTATTTCTGTTGTTGTAACTCGTTCGTTTTTTTCCTTTTTGTCATATATTCATAACATATTAAAGAAAAAAGAAAGCCGACCGTTTTATTTTATTCTTTAAAAATTAAACTACAAAAAAAAAACATAAGTCTTACAAGTCGAAGCAACATAAAACTTTACACAAGCATTGTGATCAAGAAAGAATAAGTAGACTTCATACTATATATTATTGGATTTTAGGTTGCAAATAAATTGTAATAATTTACAGAGAATGGAAAATATTACGTAAGAAGAAAAGTATAGTTATAAGAATTTTTGGTACGAAAAATTAAGTATTGATGTTGATCAAACATAATCGATAACTTTTATTTTTCTTGTTATTTTGTATTTGTAAATATAGTCAGCGATGATGTATCAATGATACAAAAGTTTTTTTTTATTATGAAAAGAGATTTTGTATGACAAGTAGCCACATTAAACTTAAACTAGAAAACATTGTTATCTATCCTCTTTACTCTTCACTTATGCAAAGTAAAAACTATAATTTACAAGGGAATATTTCTAAGTATCAAGTTGCTTTTCAATTAGTGCTATTTACATCATGTAGATTGTAATGAGTTATGGATATTTTGCAAATAGTTCAGATTTATAGTTTATTGTCGTTGAGATATTGTATTTCGACTTGAAACTTTGCATAGAGACGTTCTTTAATGAAATGAGAATAGTTTATGCTAAGAACATATTTTTCGCACCGCTCATGTACAACAGTACAAGTCGATGTTCTTATTTCAGAATGGACAAAATCCAAAAAACTCAAAGTTTCACATGAAGCCATTCTTTGTTAAGGTCAATATCTTTGAAAAGGCTCGATGCGAAAATCGAAACTCAATTTTCCTGAAGAACCATGACACTCTCCTAAAAAAGATGGTAAATACATAGTATCTCGCCAGCAAGAAACTATTAGCCAGAATTCCTTTCAAGATATTCATAGCACATTAGATTCTACATAATACACATAGTTCCAACTAAAAAGCGATTTAACACTTACAAATGTTTCCTCATTAGTTACTGTAAATTTTTGTACAATATTACAAATTAACATTATTCCAGTAGAATAGTTTTTGTTGAAATCCTGAATTTATAGCCAAACTTAATTTCACTTGATTATATCAAATGATGAATAAATTTATGTTAACTTGAGTTGTGTGTTGCTAATGTTAACTATACCAAAAATATTTTCGAAGTAAGGTAGTATAATGTCTCACCTATAGTAACAATTAGTACATGCAAACTCTTTTTTGAAATAATATTTCGAAAACGAATTGGTCTTAATGGATATTTAGAAGTATTGTTAAGAAATTTCATCACGATAACTCAATCAGAATCTTGTGTAGTTTCAAATCTCATCTAATAGAACAAAATTCAGTCAAATGAATTCGATTTTTTTCTAACAGAAAACAAAGTGCTATTGATTTGTTTCGATTCGAAAATGTCATTATACGTACTCATGAGTGGTTTAATTAATGGCTCATTATCTTGAAGTTCATTAACAGAGAAAAATTATTAACTCACATATGAAAAGTAATGACAAACAGAACACATGAGTTCATATGACATTTCTCTCGGCTTTTAGTCGAAATCCGAAAAAATCATAGCTTTAGATCAATATCGATTTGTTTACTTGTAGTAATGGAATAATTATTCTCATATGCAGGTTTGAAAGTATGGTTGCACTCTACCAATGTTTAATAAAATTATTGCATGATAATAGTTATAGGCATCATTGCTGAATGAGAACAAAGTAAGTATATATGATTTCCATATTGCAAGAAAATGTAGATGATTTTCGAATGTTGTAATTTATCAGTGTAATATGTCATGTTGTCAATCAAAAAACGTTAATTGTTTTGAAGTCTAGCCCTGAGAAATGTTGTCTACTATTTTTCAATAGACAAGATCAGTAATTGGATAAAAGCTGTTGATTAGAATAGAATATGTACATCAAGGAAAAAAAAATGAATGCTGACCTTCATAGAAGAAGAAATAGTTGCTTTCATGACTGTGCTTTCTATCATTAATATATGTTGCAAGAGATCCAAAAAGTAAATTTTGCTGCAAATGTTTGCTCTGAGAAAAAATATGTTCAAAAGGCACGACCATTTACTGTTTGTGCTATGACATGTAACGAATACTAGCAAACTAACAACTTATATGATGGCACTAAAAAAACTTTTTCAATATTAATGTTCTCAGATTCTGACAAAAAGATTCAGACATGAACGAAAAAACAAAAAAATTAGTGTTGCTGATTAGCCTTTTGTCATTCCAATAGTTGATTTTGATAGATATGATCAAATTGAATGTATTAAAATATTTGCAATGAATATTGTCTTTTAGAAACACTTCATAACTGTTGTCTACAAAGAAGTCACTCTAATGCTTATAAGCTGATTATGAAAATTGAAAAAAACTCATGGTGTAAGAAAACGACGAAAGTTAAAATCAATGAAATTTATTGTCACTCGATAGTTAGATGCGCGAGCAAATATCTTAACACTTGGGTATGAGATTTTCAATAAATTTAGTGACAAGTTTGTTTTCAGTCTCTTCAACGAATGAAATAATCATCTGACCATGCATATGTCACAACGCAAAAAGCACAACTAACATTTAAAGAGAATTAGGCGTTAATCTTAGTTTTTAAACAGAACTATTCAAGATCGTACTAACCATTACACTTTTAAACGTTGAAAAATGTGTTTTCAATGATCTCTACTTTGAAGATAAGACATTCTTAGGTGCCGTCAACTGAGAACCAATAAAAACGGAGAACATATCCACTTCAATGAAAGGAAAACGTACAACATATTCCGGTCTTTCTACTGAAGAACTCAGAAGATCTTTTATTCCTTCATCGTCAATTTGATTTCAATGGGATTTCGATATAGTGAGTGTCTGTGTAAAAAAAAGGAAGTGAATGAAAGAATGTGAAGATCAAAACATTACGTGATTTTGTTGGAGAACATTGACAAGATATTGTACTCCTTGATCATCTATTCGATTGTTATATTTATTCATTCATTTGGCAATTTTTTAAATTAACTATTTTAGCTTCTCTGGCAATTTAGCATAAATTAATAACAGTCAAAATTTGTGAGTTTCACAATTTGACCCCTCATGAGACCGCACTGACAAAGTTTTTTTTTTAAACTTAAATAATCAAACCAAAAAAATATTTTTGTGAAATTCTATATACTTCATACTAACTTATTTTTTTCAATCTGCTCTTCTATAAGTATTGATCATATGAACAAAAAGATATATATGTCAGCGTCCAAACTGAGATTACGTCCAATCTCAGATTGGCCTAGGCGAATGTCAGATCCGAGATTGGACGCATTCAATCTCGGATTGACGCAATTCTGTTCATTAAAATATCAATTACCCTTTAGACAGACCTTGGATTCGAACTATTTTTTGAAATTATGTTCACACAATGCCGTTTTAAGTATTACAAGCATTTAGGAAGAAGCTAAATTTAGACTCAAAAATGTAATAAAAGTTTTTCACATAAGTTCTTGTTCTCTAGAAATTTATTCATAACTCCTAAAATTTTATTCAGATTTGTCAAATGATAATTGTGCCAAACAAACTGGCATCGTGTGAACATAACTGAGAAAAAATAGTTCGAATCCAAGGTCTGTCTACAGGGTAATTGATATTTTAATGAATAGAATTGCGTCAATCCGAGATTGGACGCGTCCAATCTCGGATCCGACATTCGCCTAGGCCAATCTGAGATTGGACGTAATCTCAGTTTGGACGCTGACATATACATAAAGGATGTTAAATTTAAATCAATTTTCAATCTAATTTTTATAAGTTTTTGTTTAAAGAAAAGTAATTCGTGGATAGTCAACTCTGATAAATTTTGCTGATTTCAAAGCAATAAAAATTTTAATAGAGTCCACCAAGATCTAAAGAAATCTAGTCAATTGCACCGTGTTATGAAAAAAATCTTCTGTGATCTTTAGCGATATGAAAAAACTAATGGAACTCATTCGAAGCTGAGTATTCATGAAAAAGCTGAAATGTAAAAAAAGAACTGTTATTACTTTGTGACGCTGCGAGGCATGGCATTGAAACTTTCGAAAAAATAAAACATGGCGTAGTTCTAGGAGGAGTTCAATTAATTCAAATGAATCTCAATGAATTCTAATGAATTCACTATCGAATTCGTTTAGAATTCAGCAAAACTCTAATACTGCAAATACGCAATGGCTTTTTTCAGGAATGCAGCAGAACTTATGTGATTAATATAAAATCTATCAAAGCCTTTTCAAAAACTCCACAACTTCACGAATACTAGAAGCCCTAATGTTAGAGCTATCTATGAAGTTCAGAAGGGCTATCTTACATTAAATTCTGTATTCTTCAAACCACGCATTCATATTCATTTTAAAAGCATATCTTTTTCACAAAAAGCAGCTTTATTGATTTGACTGTGATACAGCTAGGCGTATCGACGAAGAATTTGTATTACAAATGTTAGTAGATCTATGCTGATCTCGTGATTGTCTAATACGAACAGGTAATTTTGTTGTTTTGTAAAGCTTCTGAATATAACAGAAAATATATTACTAGAAATTTATGTTCATAGAACATTATTTGTCTATTTTTACTGAAAAAAAAATAAAAAGAAGAGTATCTAAAGAAATATTTACTGTATTGTATCGAACACATGAGTAATTATTAATGTTTTAATATATAAATAAAGCCTGATATATAGTCTCTGTTACGAAAAAAAAGGAAGATTTGAGTGAGAACTAGGGTCCTAAGAAACTCGAAAAATAATTCAACCATTACCGCAGTCCCTTTTTGTTTCAATAGAATATTTGTTTTTTAAAATTTCAAAAAATAATGATCAACTTTGAACAAAGAGAATTCTGAAAATTCTAGATAAATTCGTTAAACTTTGACTAAGCTATGAGTCATGTTATGATTTCACGTGATATACCTCTATATCAATAGTAACAGTAAAATGATTATTATTCTTCAATGTTGTTATCAACTTGAATCAAATTCTTATCCTTGATCACTCGAACAGAGTACTAAACAATGAGGTATTCATCAACTTCAAAGAGCTTTCCTGTCGCCAATGATGAGATCCACAAGCAAAAAGAGAGTGTTACCTATTATAACTCCACTTGAACTCGAGCAATTTTATGATGAATCAAGTTTTCGATGAGCATTTCTCATAGAGCATGTGTGCACAAAATATCAGCTGTCTTGACCTTAAAATGATCCCAATGCGGATGTGAGAGATTTTTTACAGTACTGCATAACTAAGATAAATGAGAAAACAATCAAAGATGAATTGATACTTAAGTATGCTCAATAATAAGTCATCATCAAGGTGTATCATATTCTTTTTCTCTTTATTATTAACATTAAATCAGAAATATCTTCCAATATATTGTTTCGTGAATAGCTTATCAAAATTGAACTGAAGAATAGATAGCTTAGTAACCATGTATCTTTCATTTTACTGACAATTAATAATTTTGTTAGATAATTTTGTTCTATTTTTCTCAGAATGCTTTCACTCATTTTATCTACTCTTATTATTTTTATTATGATATCCAACATTATGCAACAAGAACATTTAAGTATTTTTGAATGCTTAAATTTCGAAAGAACACAAAGTGAACATATGAATGAATGCAAAGTGCAAAACCATACTTTTAAGTTTTCTCAGAGAGAATTTGCAGCCGAATGCGTCGAATGTCATATTAAATATACTGATATAGATTTCAATGATCATTGTCCAGCGAACTTCAAATGTATATCTCTAATATTTGATAATATTTCAATATTTGAAACATTCTTCAAAAAAAGTGCCGGTACAGTGGAAATCCTACTCTCATATGCAATACATGTACCACTTCCTCCTATAATTCATGCATCTATAATCAAATATAACATCACAGAAATTACAAGTCAATATTTACATTCATTATTAGATATACAATTCATTTCGTTGGTTATGCAGATTACATTTATTGAGCGTCCTCCGCTTCATGCAACATTTACAGTTGAAAAAAGTATTTCTTTTTTGCACTTTAATGAACTCAAAATAATCGTTCCATGCCAGTTTGGTTCAAATCAAAGAATTTATACAATTAAAGGCATGCGAAACAGTTCCAAACCAGATATAAAAGGCAACTGTCCAGATGTTCCATCTACACAGAAAGTAAGTAATATCTTTAGTAACATACTGAATGATTATACACAAAAACATATCTTATAACAACAGAAAAAAAGTAGATTTTTATAAACTGAAAGTCGGAATTTAAGAATTTCACAAAAAGATACATGATGCAATAGATACATAACATTACTGTTATTAGCAATGTCAGTAGCAATATCAATGGTCTGTATTGTTATTGCTGCTTATTTAGACAAAAACTACTACAAGCAGCACACTCACAATGAAAACAATGACAACCTTAACAACATCATCGAGCATCAAACGAACAACATTAATATCTATGAAACTGCGATATACAACAAAACAAACAGCATCTATTATATCTACACTATTCAGAACAACAACAATAACTTCAACGCCATCATCTACCATCTGGACAACAAGTCCTTCATCAGCATTAACACCACAAAAATCAACAAAAACAACTACGACAACAGTGACAACAATAAAAACAACAGTGGCAACAACAAGAACAAAAGTAACAACAACAAAAGTAACAACAACAAAAGTAACAACAAAAGTAACAACAACAACAGTAACAACAACAACAGTAACAACAACAACAGTAACAACAACAACAACAGTAACAAAAACAACAACAGTAACAAAAACAACAACAGTAACAACAGCAATAACAGTAACAACAACGACAACAACAACAACAACAACAGCAATAACAGTAACAGTAACAACAACAACAACAACCAAAGTTACACTAATTACAACTTCATCTTTTCATACTATATCAGCTGCATTATCAACAACAACGATCATAACAGTAATGACAAAAGAAAAATTAACAAGAATGCCAAGTTCAACAAGTTTTCTTGCTACAATTGAAAATTCGTCAGTCTCTTCGTCTACATCAACAAAAGCATCACAAGTATCCTATAAGATTCTTCGATATATTTTGTTTATATCACTATTTGTGATTATGTTGATTATCATCATTACATTGATTGCTTGTTTTCTGTATTACCGTCAAAAACGACGACAGTTACTTGAGGAATATTCAATTCCTATTAACGATATAATCAATAAAAATACATATGGCAGTACTAACAATGATATAACTCAATCTAAGAATTCATCAAATACATCGAACACATTTTCATCATTATCATCAAGACAAAACCAAGAGACGAAATCATTGAAAAAAGTGAAAAAAAATATTGGAAACTCATTTGATGATCACACGTTTTAACGAATTTTGTTTTCGAAAGGGTTTTTACGAGATGCGATAGACAGATAAAAATCAAAACTTTAGCTATTTTCTCTAAAAATTTCGATCGCTTATGTTAAGAAGCCGTTATAACTGAATGATTACATTATTTGACGTGCACCGACAAGATACTATGTGTATACTGCAATACTACCAACTATGGAATGATCCTGGACAAGTTGCTAACATCTATTTGTTTCGGATCACGCATCCAAGAGGATGTTAACTAGTTTGTCACGTACATCTGCTCTTGTAGTTCGTATGCGATTAGTAAATATGTATAGGGAGCTCAAACAATTGAGGGAAAGAACTCTACGTTACGGCAGTGCTCTGTTCATAGTTGTACAGAAGATGCAGAACTATTAAATTTACCGCTAGGCAGCATTCAATATCACCAGATAACTGAAAGTTAGAGTTTTTGTTCCTTCAGTCCTCTGATGTTAAAAATGCTAGTATGATTTCCTGAAGAAAATAATACTTTGATATAGATAGTCAGAGGCATTTTTAACTCATATGTTTAATATACAATAGCATCCCACCGACAGTTCATAGGAAAAGAGGAAAAAAGAGGAACTTCATTTAAAAAAAAAAGAGGGTGTTCCATAAAAAGAGGAAAAAAAGACGCGCATTTTTTTGGCTTTTAAAATGCAAAAAAGACTGCCGCGAGGTTCCAATGTCGAGAAATAGGAGCGCTATTAATCTAAATTCAATGCAAACTCAAAATAAGTTGAAAGATGAAAGCGATTGGTAGTCGCTCAGGTTTGTGGATATACATTTATTATCGAGCTCAGAAAAATAGAACTACAAAAAGACAAGAGACACAAAAAGCAGAGTCTGTCTCAAAGGTACCTAACTGTGATATCACTTTATCTAAATGTTTGTAGACAAAGAAATGGAAGTTAAAAAATAATCCAATATCCAAAATCTGTTTAGTTTATATTATATCGAGAGTGGAAAAACCTAAGAAAACGGAAAAAGACACAGTATATAGTATATATTTCTAAGACAAGAAAACACGATACATTCAGTTCAAAACAAAAGTTCCAGTTTTCTTTCTCAAATCTGTGATCGGAATTTCAACCATGCACAGAAGAACTTCTCCCTAAAAACACAAAAATACCACTTGTGATCAAGTCTGCAGATTCGAAGTGATTCGGAATTCAATCGATATTGAGTAATATACAAATAAATAATTGTTCTTGAAAAAAATTTTGATTCCTGAATATACTACGGTTTAGTTTTGACAATTTTTGATGAAATTCTAATAACAGTGAGAAAATCTTACGTTTTTAAAGTTATATGACGCAACGACTTTTTAACGAAATTCATGAAAGGTTATCACTAAATCATCTTCGAGGTGACTAATGATGCAGAAACCATCGGTAAGTATGGACTGACATTTCGCGAAACTTTTTGCATCTCGCGAAATTTTTGAAGCTTTAGTGGCTAAAATCGGGTTTTGTTTTTTGTGCCAACTAGTTGTGTCGTGGAAACCATGTTCTCATTAGAGCAAATATGGTCACTTTAACGGCAAATTGTCAATTCTGGAGCCGAAGTTCTTGAGTTTCAATTGTCGGAAACCATATTTAAGTTCATACTGGAAGCTGTCTTGGTGCTCTACTCAAGCTTTATGCACGACTGTTAGAAAAAACTATTTCAATGAGCTTAGACGTCTAATTTTTAAAGTTTTATGTTTGTACGTCAATAAATCTATCGCAACTTATTTTCGTATTTCCAAATTTCAACCTCAATAAATATTTTTTTTTTAGCTAGATCGATAAATTCTATATCAAAAAATTTAATAAATAATGTTTGTGAGAAGAATAAATGCTTATCTGGTTCTTATGATGCGTCCTGAAGAATAATTTTGAATCTTGTTATTGATCCTTTTGGTTCGAAGCATATTGATTCATTCAAATCGACCGATATTATCAATTATTATCATTAAAAACCTAATTTTTTCCAAAAAAAAGAGGAAAAAGAGGCGGAATGGGATACCAGATATACATGAAAAGAAACACTTCTACATTATCATTCGGACGACGCTGAATTGATCTCGGAAAAAAGGATGAGAATGATCTCGGAGTGCTTAATTAATAGAAAAAAATGATGAAAATGATCTCGTTTTTTTCCGAGTACAAAATATGATGAAAAGATCTCGGAAAAAACTCATTAACAGAGAAAGGTGTAAATTAGAGAAAAAGATCTCGGTTGCATATGTTAAACAGAAAAGCGAAGTATGGCATCCTAGTTTATGTGTATACTAATAAACAGAGGGCATAGTGATAAAGAAACACAATAATGCTATATTTATTAATATTTAATACAAAATATACATGAAAATGTTCATAAAAAATCAGCCTTTGGGCAATGAGTATTTCACTTTTTTTCTGCGTCCCGTGCAATTTCTTTCTCCGATTAACTGTGGAGTTATTCGAACCACCCAGATCATCATAAGATCTATTGAATAAATACACGAATATTGTTTCAGATTATATTTACAGGAACAGAATATTGAAGGTAACATGTTAGAAACATTTAAAATTCGTGAAGATTCCAACCACTGTTTGAAATGATCATATGATAACCAAGACATAGAGTACAAATAGTGTACGCAAGCATGATTAGTCGTTTGAGACTCAGATTCTTTAACAACAAATGTAAATGCATCTAACTGTAATATTTCGCTTCTATCAACTTTATAAATCCAATCATAAGCTTTAACATCCAGATCAGCATCCATGTTTAAATGTATTTGAAATGGATGTTGTACTGTATTCAGTGACCAATCGGTCAACATGCCATCAGATGAATCATTTTTACTATTCATCATATATACTAGTTCCTATATAACGATATACGCATATATGTAGAAAAAATCGAGATCTTTTTCTCTAGTTTACACCTTTCTCTGTTAATGAGTTTTTCCGAGATCTTTTCATCATATTTTGTACTCGGAAAAAAACGAGATCATTTTCATCATTTTTTTTTTCTATTAATTAAGCACTCCGAGATCATTTCCATCATTTTTTTCGAGACAAATTGCATTTTTTCCTTATCATTCTATCAAATCATTACAGTTCAATCAAAAAAAAGTCAATTTAATTATATACTGTTGAAAGATTCTAATAATAGAATATAAAAGAAATATTTTAACATTTTTTCAAATTATTTCTAAATTGATTTAATTGTCTGTGGTAAGTATATCGTAAATTTCTTTCAAATGCACTTATTGATCCACCTAATTTACGCATCGTTTCAATGGAATTTGGAATTGTTTCTTCTAATGTACTATCACTTGTTATCAATTGTCTACATGGTTTAACTAACATTGTTTTTAATTCAATATGTTGTTTTTCTCGTGCACGATCAGTTTTTGTTTTAATCATATGTACTGTTGAACGACTCGTATTCGTAGTTCTCATAAATGGTTTTTTCATTGTTGACGATGTATCAGATGCTGATTGTTCATATAAACCACCAATAATATATGTTTCAGTAGGTGGTGGTGTTAGGGGATATGGTAATCGATGTTGTTGATAATTGCGACGACTTGAATGAGCACTACCACCAGCAGCTCGTTTTGATGAAGACATTGATAATGGAGTTATACTTCGATGATCAGCTGCAGTAGCAAGGGCATTTTCACGAGCTATAGTTGATTGTCGAAGTTGAACACTTAGAGAAGCTTGAGGTTTTGAACCAAAATTAATTTTAGATAATGCTTTTATTGGTCCATTATTCGTGATCTACAAATAAGAATTTCATATTTAAGCTAAAGATATTAATATTTATATAATAGATTTTAATGAATTATGTTATAATTTATATACCTTAGGTTGTACTAGAGAATGTTTGCTAGTATATTGTTGATGTGAGAATGATGTTTCACCATAATTACAACGAAGTGTCGGTGATTCTCTTGTTTGATGAAAAAAATCTGATGATCTTTGATATTCATCTGTAGGTGATGTTGGTCGTTGACTATGTTCTTCATCGAGATATTTTGAATCATATGAATTTTTTTCTGAAAATCTTGTCACAGATGGCATAATAGCTGCTCGTTGTATCGCATGAAGCTCATTAAGTAATAATTGATCTTCTAATTTAACAGCTTTCATATCCATTGGACATATTAAAGCTCGTTTTCTTGGTGTATGTTTACACATTTGTTTACGATTCATCATTAAAAAATCGGTCCAATTAAAATACATCGGTGAATAAGTCACTATACGGTTCCATTGATCTTCACCAAATGGACATAATTGTACAGTTGATATGCAATCAGAATGTTGATTTGAATATTTCGCCATTTATTATTAAATATCTGTTCAAATAATAATCGTCTGTTTTACAATGACATTGTTGTTGCTTCTGTAAAGTTGACACTTCACTTTTTTTTTAATGCTATACTGCTTGGATACAAAAAAAAATTCTTTGACATTTTTGTCTTCTCTCTATATTTCGTCGTGCACTTTAATAATTTTTGTTAAAAATAAACGAACAATTGATGAAGTAACAAATAATATATTTGAACATGTGAAACAAAAAGTAGAAATATAATGAAGAATAACAAAAAAAAAATATTTTGTTCTTGTTTTCTTTGTTAACATTATTAGCTAGAATGTACGTTAATATATATTGATCATAGTAATGTTTTTTTTGATTATTGAAATAGCTAAAAATCAATTTTTATGGTTTGAAGAACTTCAATTGTTTGTTTATTCATTTATTGACATGTCTGTTTTCTTTGTAAACTTTAGAAAAAGACAAAGAATCAAAATTAGACATAAAAGAAAAAGAATATGAACACGATGGAAGTATTTAACGAAAGAAGACATTATGGTAGACTAATGTTTAATGAAGAAATCGATGAAACTACTAATACAAATAATCATACTTTTGTCTCTTTAAACATCATGTAATTTTTTCAAACATGTACATAAAGATTCCTTGAAAAATTCTTTTTTTTATATAGAAATAATATTAATAATGTAAACTTGTGAGATACTCACTATTCGTATAATATAAACGTTATAGAATTTCATTCTGTCATTTATTGATGATTAAACAATTGGTCTAATCTCGAATGAGAGAATCAACCGAACCAATATCCATCGTTGAAGTTTATAGAGGGTCTATAAGAACGTTTTAGTAAGACTAGCTAAATTCTAAAATAGGTTTGTCTCCAAGAGTCTTTGAAGTTGAATGAAAATCGTTTTATTAAATTTTCGATCGAGTTTTAGGTATTTAATGAAAAATGAAGTATCAGTTTTTGGATATTTGATTTCGCCTGGAGATACGTTGACTAAGCCGTAGATATCCTAAAAGTTTCAATCGAAAAGTATGTTTTATTTTTAATTTTCGGTATGTATCTAAAGCTAGAACACAAATTCAGTAAAATCGATCTAACTCGCCTTTAAAAGCTTATGAAGAGGAAACTTTTAGGTTTTTTTTTCTAGTTTTATCAAGATCTCTTTGTAGGTTCAATATGAGCTTCAATGACCGATTATCAATGCTGAATGTTTCTTCATAAGTTGCTATAAAATAGATTTTCTGAAATTTATTTTCATTTAATTCATATATTTACAAATCATTGTTATTGTAATAATTTTATCAAAAAATACATTTTAGTTAAGACATACCAAAAGCAATGATTTATCACGCCACAATCGATTTGTTTGAAGATATTTGTAGAAAGTATTTCTTAAGTGAAGTTCGATTAAAAAGTTCATCATCTCTATTACGGCACTCAATATAGCAATTGGTGACTATATCGATTAATCAAATTTGGTTGAACATAGTAAACCACAGAACTACAGCAAATACATGAAGTGACAATAGATGAGAAGCGTTGAGTATGTCATCCATAAATCGATTCAGGCTCTTTGAAATAGAAGAACTGCAATTGATCAATTACCATTAACTTCAGTTTGGCATAGTAATTTAACTGTAAAACAATGTTTTTGGTGTCTTTTCTAAAAACGACTAGTCGAATATTCTTTAGAGAATACTAGCAAACATGCAAACAACGATGGCTTCTAATTGTCAATACTCTATCACTCATTTCATAAAACTACTTATGAATGGAATGACAAGGTAAAGATTATCAGCTAACACTTAAAATATTGAAATGATTATTGCAACATCTAATGATATATTCATCAAAATACTTTTACTATCCTGTATCAACACGTATCATAATTATTTTATACTTACCTTCTTTTACAGATGAAGTATCAGGGATTTTTCACGTATCGATCTAATTGATAAATATTATCAATCAAACGGTCCTTAGTCACTAAATATGGAGTGCCGTAACCACAATGATAAATTTTTTAATCGAAAATTATTTGAAACATACTTCTGATAAATTGATTGCCCATCATTAAGTGTGATTATCTAGCTTCAATCCTTGTTCGAGAAAAAAATTGGTTTACTCTTTTCTGTGGTGTTTTAGGTATCTCCTAAGTATTTTGTATTACAAGGAAAGTCTTTCAACTGTTCTATCTTTTTTCAATCAAGACTATGTGTATTATGTAGATCTAAATGAACCATAGCTACCATTTATAGAGTTCATGCTCGTAGCTTATTGCTACGGTGATAAGACACTTTTACAGTATTTTTTTAAACAAATGCCGTGATCCATAAAAGCCAATTTTGGATCTTCGACTAGAAATTTTGCATATAGGCAAGCCTTGATGTGAAGTTTTTTGGGAATGGTTCAGATCTCGTTTTTGTTCCTATCCTAAGATACAAAAATGAGTATAGCGTGTCTTTCACATAAACTAGAAGACTTGATGTCCTTATTTCAAGATAGAAGCAAATCCAAAAGACCTGAAACTAATCTTGTTCAAGTCTGTCCCTTTGTAAAGTTTCACGTTAAAATTCGAAAACCAGTTTGTCTAGACGGTGGCATCTATTTAAAAAATGTCGCAAAACTGCAGTATCTCCAAAACAATCAATTAAAAGCATAAACGCTTTTCACCGTATTCATAGCTCTTTCGGATCTACATAATGGACTTAACCTCAATTTAAAAGCGTTTGAATAGTTGGATGACTTCCCTTGTTAGTCTTGAGATATTATTTATTTTTCTTGTCTTTGGAATGACCTACATACAAAGAAAAACAAGTAAACATGCCCCCACACAGAACTACAAAACACATATTACAATTGATAAACACCGAAAAAAGTATACACAGGCAATAATGAGGAAAAAAAAAGATCACTGTACGAGATTATTGTTTACTAGATGTATCATTTTATGATTGATGTGCTGAATTGCTTCGGTTACCTATTTTAAGAAGAAATGGTGCTGATTGTTGCTGTTCGACAGCTGATCTTGGTTTTCGTTGATCATATTCATTTGTATTGGATTCTGTTTGTTGTGTTGGAATATCATTAGCATTTGTTATGGATGTTGCCATTGATTTTCGTAATTCTCTTGTTTTATGTTTATAAAAATATAAGTCTTTTTCAAGTTGTTTTATTTGATTTGATGATTCTTGTAATTTTCCAAGTAATAATTGTTTTTCTTCTTCATGTAATTGTTGAATAGATGTTAAACGACGATCATGATCAAGTGATAATGATTGAATACGTGATTGTAAATCATTAATTATTTCAGTTTGTTCAAGAAGTTGAGACTAAATATATGATAAAGATAACATTGTAGAAAAATATTCTTTTTTTTCTTTCTTACTTTAATTTCTTCATAATCACGACGATTTTTATTATCTCCTTCTTTGAGATCAACTACTTTTTCAAATAATTTACGACAAAGTTCTCTTGATTCATTTTCATTTAATTGACCAATTTTGAATAGTGCAGAATCAGAACCCTAAAAATGAAAATAAAAAAACAATTTTCATACTATTCAAAGGTTATAGAAAGAAAGCACATAATAATCTTCACGAATTCTGATATCTTTTCCCTTAAATATTCTATTTTAAGATCGGATTCTAATAAATTGATTCAACTCCTAGACGGAAACATCTATAAACAGTATACTTTTCATATTGTTTTAGACACATCTACCATTCTAAATTTTCAATTAAAAAATACTTGGACTTTTAAGCAAGAAATATGACTGTCAAAATGCACAATGAAGTGTCCATATTGCGTGTTTGTTCGTTTTACTGCTGATATACCATAGTAGAATGGTGTTCACGAGATAATCGACCTTTTGAGTATCAAAATATTGCCGGTATTCGTTCGATTTAAATCACGTGGGACACCATCTTCACCGTTGAAAGATGTGCAATAATCTATTTTTAGCCATTTTAACTGAATTAATAATAGATTATGACTATATTGTTTATTATCAATATGGTTTTTATTATTATCATCGTGTTTATTCATTTCTCTAAGTTAGTGTTCGTACTATCTAGTCAATAGTTATTAGTATTTTACATGAATTATGGATTGATGCTTATTGCTTCGTACCTCATATTTATTTTTTCGTAATAACCTACAAATTAAGTGTTTTACACTTCGTTCGGTAAACAATATGATCTTCATACTAAAAACTTTATTAGAACTAATAGCCAGTCAAAAAGCATTCTACGAGTGTTTTTAAATAATTTCTTATGCATAAAAAATAGAAATCTATAGGTTTACTTATCACCTTATTTCTAAGCACAATTTAAAAAATACGAATAACTAATTTTAAATCGGTGTCAAAATTAATGATTCTATATTAGAAAAGAAAATAAAGACTTAATTTCAATTCGAAAATATCCAGCTTTGCAAGTGTTTAACTATATATCATTTCATGTGAAATGACTCATGTTTAAAAAAAAATAATTCATGTTAAGTAGATTTCCAAGTTTATATGGATAAAATAATAACATAACTACGAGCAAAACAAATTAACAATAAATTCAAATTTTATATCACTCAAGACGAGTAAATTGCTTTTGGTCGATTCTGATCCTTGATAGTAAAAGGACTTGACTAAACTTGATCATATCAGTGTCCTAATCATCATCTATGTACATATTTTTATGGTTGACTAAACATCAACTCTACTGCACTAGTGTTGAGGGAGTAAAGCGTAGAGTACAGCTTTTTGGTACTCTTCCTTGGATACGGATACCCAACCCGTAAATTGTAGTACTGTAGTAAAGGGCTCATATGTACTTTTCAATTAGTAGTGTTACATCGACAAATGTTTTGTTTAAGTTTTTTTTTGTATTGATATGTATGATTTCCTTGTGTTCTTATAAAGAGTACCTTCCACTTCTATTCAATTATCATCATAGACTTCGAATGCTAAAAGAACGGACAGATCAGCATGGCGAAAGGTATATC